CTAGGTGTTACACAAAACGAAATTTGTACATCCCTAAACCTTGTCTTGCAATCGAACTGTACGATGAATGGAAAGTGGCATGGAGCATGGAAAGTAGCGGCAAGGATCCGATTCAAAATTTCCCTTTCTTGAATTCTCTCTCGAAGTACGAGACGAGGTCTGGGGTTTATGGACAAACTCGATGTTTTCGCGCTTGTTGTTGCGGTTTTGTGGGCTAGGCGCTTGGGCGGCTTCTGGCAGACAGAGGGACTGGAAACTGGAGACTGAAGGCTGATCCCTAAATCGGCGGCAGTCACAGTCTTCGCACCGGCCAACCGATTTTCCTATGCTAATTGAAGAGCGAGTGCTTAAGTGCTCGAGTGTCTGTGGTTGTGGTTGTGTCTGTGTCTGTGGCCACCTGTGTGCCTGCCTCTGTGTGTTTGGCCAATTATGCCTAATTGCCGTCAAGGCGACAACCGACAACAGCAGCACTCAAAATGGAAATGAAAATGTAACTGAAAATGAAAATGAAAAGTGCCACAAATGAGCAGCCGGACATGGGACAGTGGAAAGCTTTGTGCGGTGCGGTGCGGTGCTACGGGGACGTATCAGCAGCTAGAAAGAAACAGAAAACTACTAAATACCAACTTTCCAGAGCTGGCCCTCAGTCGGCAATGGCCCAAAAAAAAAGACACCAGCAAAAGCTTTGTGGCTTTCTGGCTTTGCGGCTATCTGGCATGATTTCCATTCGGTTTTGGTCTATGCAAAAAACACTCGATTGTCTGTGACCCAGTTCGGTTTTGCAGGCTTCAGAGCCATCAAATACCAAACAAATACCAACCGGAGGCATTTGATGCAGTGCATTCCCAATGGAAGATGCATACATATGTATGTACATATGTACATATATACATATGTATGTAAATATGTACATATGTACATATATACAGATAGCATGTACATATGTATCTATCATATTTTATAGCATTTGATTATATTTTATTGCGAATACTTTCCTTACTTGGCGCACATTTTGCGTCTTTTTCAGTTGAAGGTCTTTCTAGTGGTTTTAAATGTTTCATACTCCTCGTTGAATTAATCGAATTACGTCCCTGCGAAAGCCCTTTTGAGGGGCTTATCATTCAAGGATACTCTGGTAAAAATGGGTATCATATCATAGAAGTAAAAATAAACTTTTCAAATGTTTCAAATTTACAGAATCAGGTATAGGTATAGGTATAGGTATAGGTATAGGTATAGGTATAGGTATAGGTATAGGTATAGGTATAGGTATAGGTATAGGTATAGGTATAGGTATAGGTATAGGTATAGTCAGAAAGGTATAGGTATAGGTATAGGTATAGTCATGAAAGGTCATAGTTTGCGGCGCTGAATGGTTTTGGGAATCTATTGCAGGTTTTAGCGATGATCATAATATCTACACAGCCCAGGCCTACAACCTCTCTTTCGTCCCATTGTATTCAAAAGTTCCTTCATTTTGCGGCCCAGTGTAATTAATTTATTAATTTTTTTCGAACTTCATTGCCCAATTGTGCCCAAGTACTTATCTAAGCCTACAATATAGAAAAATGTGAATATTTACTAGATATGCACATGGATATACATACATACATATATATACACACTTGATCATAATAATAGGTACACCTTGAAGCTTTTCATTAATAATTAGTTTTATCGTACTTTAAGTGTTGAAAACAAAATTTTGTTTGGTATGTTTTATTTGTCAATGTATTGCAGTTCCGTGACAAAAAAATGAAACAGGGAAACCGCCGAATAACAGAGCTTTAAGCGAAATTGCGAGTTGACATCACATTATGGCTGATCAAAATAATAGGTACAGTGTCAGTAAATTTTGAATATCAAGTGAATAATTTGGAAATTCTTGACTTTTTGGCAATTAAACATCCATTTCATTTAACAACAGTCTAAATATAAACAAATAATTATTTTTTTCTTACAAGAATAGGCCGAAAGTATTATTGTACAGCCCTATTGGCTCTTAGTCTGAAAAAAGAAGGCCAATCTCTTCGGGCCATTGCCAAATTAATGAAAAGATCTCATAATTTTGTTACAATGCTTTAAAAATTAAAACCTAGTCAGGAAACTCGCGGAAAGCCACAGACAACAACCATAACACTTGACCACTACATACTTTTCTTTGAGGAATAAGGACCCATTTAAGTAGTCAAAGGCTTTTGCATCAGAAAGTGCACTAGAAGTTAGTGCTCCAACGATCCGTAGACGGCTACAACAAGCCATATGCATACATATGCATTGTCGGTACAATATACAATATACTACTGCCACTTGCCACTATCGATTTGCCATTTCAAATGCCACGCCTCCATGACGCCATGACTTGCCTCCAATCGGTATGGGTATCGTGTCCGAGGCAACAGCGAAAGCAGCGAACGCCAGCCAAACGACCCAGCACACGACCCCACCTCAAGTGGCTAGAAGAGCGGCAGTGCTTGGAGCCTGTTTGGTTTCGTTTTGGCTTTCGATTTCGGGTATCTGTTTCGGGTATCTTTTTCTTAATTGGCAGCCAAGTGCGAACCGGTCCGGTCCGATCCGGTCCCGTCCGCTCTGCTCAGAACAATGACAGCCAGCCAGCGGCGGGCAAATGTCAAGGCAGTGGAGCACTCACAGACAACCCCAAAAACCAGGGGAAAAAAGGGTGCTGCCAGAACCACTTTTGGCAGATTTGAGCCGCAATCATGCGACAATTTTGTGGCTCACTGTAGATCAATAAAGGGAGCACTCAGGGGGGCAAGCAATCCATCAGATCCGATTCGATCCGATCAGTGAGCGAGCGCCTATCCAAAGTGTTCGAGCCAAAAACAAAAGACTTTGGCAACGAACCTGCTCTGGCCAGCATTGCCGCTGGGCAAGCTAGTCTTGGGCCATGAATGGACAAAAGCGGAAATAAAAAATACATCGTATGTACATACAACACCTACCATATGTCGCATAATAAATACCTTACTGGGTTTTGAAGAGCAATAAAGTCCCAACGGGGGAACGGTATCAACTATTGCAAAAACGAATGTATTATCGGTTATACCTCTGGGAGGCGGGGCATGGACCACGCCTACGCCAGTCTCTTTTACTCTTATATTAGACAATCCAATCCTGCACTCGGTGGATCCGATCCAATATTCCAGCCATTCCGCACCGTCTGTTATATGAGAAATCAACTTAAATCAACGCATCATTTTGTTCTCACCCCCCCTCTTCCCATCCCCGCAGTTTGTCAATGAACCAGTGACATCCTCGTCATCATCATTAGAGAGCACATTACTGCACCAGATATGACAGAGACAAGCAGCCACCAGATGAACGGAGGAGCAGGAGCAGGAGCAGGAGCAGGAACAGCAGTGCTGGGAGGTGATTTCAATGGCCGTCACTCGGCCTCGCCGGCCCGCACCATAGACTCGCACGACTCGACTACTGGCAGCATGGACACCATCGTGGACCGCAGCCTGAACCGGGAGGAGCTGCTGCAGGTGGCCACCTGCACCATCGAACAGAGCACCAACACCACCAATATGGGCCCAGGCGGCAGCCTGACCAACTCACAGATTGGGATCCTGCAGCGAGACCAGCGTCAACAGGAACAGCAGCAGCAGGAGCACGAGGAGGAGGAGATGCAGCTGCAGGAGCAGGCACGCCAGGATGCCCAGAGTCACATCTATTCGAGTCCCGTCTACGACCAGAAGCCACCGCCACTGAAGCTGACGGCGGCCTCCCTGCTCGCCGCTGCTATGGACCTGGACGAGGCCAAGGCCAAGGGCAAGACCAGCAGCCAGACCCTGGACGAGACCAACAAACCAAAGCTCATCTCGCACCAGGAGTTTAAGCAACAGCTGGAGGAGGCCATGGCCACGCGCCATCCGGGTCAGGCGGGGACTCTGAACGCGAAGAGCGCTGCCAACAACACCATCGACTCGCGTATCAGCAAGAAGCAGCGCTGCCCCCCGGAGTTCATCAAGTACAAGGGGGGTTCCGCCGGTAGCGATGGGGGCAGCGCAGATGGAGCCAGCTCCACTCTCTCGGCGAAGGCGCGCCGCAAGCGACGGGCCAGCAACGAGTGCTGCTCGGCGTTCCCGCTCCAGATAGTGCTCGGAACGCTGCAGCTCGTCTTGGCCATCTCTCTGGTGGCGCTCGGCTCGCTGCTGATCGTGCGCGAGTCGGCCTTGTCGATGGCTGGCTGCGGCGTCTGGACGGGCCTGATCGCGGCCGTCACCGGATCCCTGGGCGTGGTCAGCATGCGCAAGACGCAAACGGCCTTCCTGGCCGTTAGCCTGGTCTGCATTGCCAGCAGCACGCTGGCGCTGGCCATTTCAGGCGTGGGCCTTTCGCGTGACCTCAACCGCATGGCCGAGCAGAAGGGGGAGCAGGTGAGTGCGGCAGTCCCAATTCATTGCATGTTGCACAAAAGTGAATGTAACTCCATTATTTACCCCACAGTTTGACCTGATGAGTGCCAACAGTGAAGTTTCCGCTGCTTGTGGCTTGATATTCACCTTGTTTTTGCACTTTGTGGTCAGCATTGTGTCAGTCTATCGCTGTGCGCTGCAGATTTGCACCAAGTAAGTAGACTTTTTTTCTGCACTAAGATTTGAATTTGAATTTGCGCGGCAAGAAATCGATAGCTTCACTTATCGGCGGCTGCCAGCGCGCGTGCAGCTATAGAGGGCGCTAGTGAGCGATTGCCATAGGGATGGGCAGCTGTGACTTGAACGGTAAAAGTAAAGTGAAAGTGCAAGTTAAAATATTTCATGCTTGCAACTATTGTCTTGCGTGAAAATAGTTTATATCTGGGTATATCTAGATATATGCAACAAGTAAGCCATGAATTTATTTCATACGAAGAAAGGCCCCCAACTCGTGACTGGCAACGGAAAAATAATCGTGACAAGTAACAGGTATGTGACTATCGTTCATCGCTCATCGCTAAAGCATAGTTGTATAGGAAAAATATTAGATAAATCGCTTAATGTGTAAATAATAGTGATAAGAACCCGCACTGAAACGAAAAACACCACAACAGCAGCCACATGAAAGAGCAAACAACAAGCGCCGAGAAAAAGCAACAAAACTAAGAATATTTCCAGTTAAATTGCGAGGAGAAAAGCAAAAAAAAAAAAGCAACAGCACCAGCAGAGCAGTCAGCAGAGACGCGAGCAGTGGGCAGAGCTCGCGCCTACGCTTCCTCCACCTCCACCTCTCTCTCTCTCTCTCTCTCTTCCACCCGTTTTCTCCATCTATCCCTCTTTCCCTCTCTGTGTGTTTGTGTGAGTGTCCGCCTAATGCTGCTCCCACTTGAAAAGTCGTCGCTGTCGTCGCCGCAAACGAAACGGAAGTAATAAAATACAAAAAAAAACTTTAGGCAAAAAAAAACACTTGAACGATACAAGAAAGAAAATACATACATATATAGTATTTCTGTCGGCCAAAAGGAAAAAGCGAAAGTCGGAGAAAAAGGCCCCAAGACGCCAGCGAACGTGTCTGCAGAATTGAAAGCCAGTAGGGCAGCGTCAGCGACAGTCATGCCACTGGCTGACTCCAACAAGGATATTCGACAGCAGCAGCAGCAGTTGCAGCAGCAGCAGCAGCCCAATAACAATGTAGCAGTAGCAGCACCCCCACTGGACAATGCACAGGCGTCACAGGCTGCCAGCCCCAGCGGCAATGGCAGCGGTGGCGTCGCAGGGATGGGGCTGCAGCTGCGCCAGCGCATGCAGATTACCTCCTCCGGGTGCAGCAGTCTGGCGGTTACTCCCATGGAGCACACGCCCACCGACGAGGAGAGCGGGCCCGTGACGACGGTGACGTCATCGCAGAGACGCCAACAGCTGCAACAGGTGCAGCAGTCGGCGCTCCAAGCGGCCCTCGAGCAGCACCATATCTCACCCACAACCCCAACGCCAGGAGCAAAAGGAGGCGGAGGCGGAGGCGGAGGAGGAGCTGCAGCAAACGAAGCTAGAGGAGGACTAGGAAGACAGGAGGCCCCTGCCACGAGAGAGACAGAGACGGAGACAGGGAAAGCAGCAGAGGACTCTTCGCATGCGGATCGAACGCTATGCCCCCCGCCGGAGCAAATGGAACTAAGCGACTCGGAGCACTCGTATGGGGGGGCATCGGGTAGCGGCGGGGAGTGCGAGAACGAGTTCGAGCTGCGCGAGGTGGTTAAGGAGGGGCACGACAAGGCGGATCCCTCGCAGTTCGAGCTGCTGCGCGTGCTGGGCGAGGGTAGCTTCGGTAAGGTGTTCCTCGTGCGCAAGATAATTGGCAAGGATGCGGGCACCCTGTACGCGATGAAAGTGCTGAAGAAGGCCACGCTTAAGGTCAAGGATCGCGTGCGCAGCACCAACGAGCGCAAGATCCTAGCCGATGTGGGGCACGCCTTCATCGTGCGTCTGCACTACGCCTTCCAGACACCCGGAAAGCTCTACCTGATCCTGGACTTTCTGCGCGGCGGCGACCTCTTCACGCGGCTATCCAAGGAGGTTATGTTCACCGAGGAGGACGTCAAGTTCTATCTGGCCGAGCTGGCCCTGGCCATGAACCACCTGCACACGCTGGGCATCATCTACCGCGACCTCAAGCCCGAGAACATCCTGCTGGATGAGCACGGCCACATTGCCCTCACAGACTTCGGGCTCTCCAAGCAGCCCCTGGACGGCTCGAAGACGTACAGCTTCTGCGGCACGGTGGAGTACATGGCCCCGGAGATTGTCAACCGCAAGGGGCACGACTTTGCCGCCGACTGGTGGTCCTTTGGCGTCCTCATGTACGAGATGCTGACGGGAAATCTGCCCTTCCACGGCCAAACGCGCCAGGAGACCATGAACCAGATCCTGCGCTCGAAACTCGGCATGCCCGAGAACCTGTCCCCGGAGGCGCAGTCCCTGCTGCGGGCGCTCTTCAAGCGCAATCCCCAGAACCGGCTGGGCGCCGGCTCCCAGGGCATTCTGGACATCAAGGCACATTGCTTCTTTGCGACAATCGATTGGGTGCGGCTGGAGAGGAAGCAGGTGCGCCCGCCGTTCATTCCCGCCGTCAGCCGGGATGACGCCTTCTACTTCGATGTGGAGTACACGTCAAAGTCTCCCCGCGACTCCCCCGGCGGCCCCATATCGGCCTCGGCCCACGAGATCTTCCGGGGATTCAGCTTCGTGGCGCCCGTGCTGCTGGAGGCTCACGGAACTCCTACCTCCCAGAACTGTTCAAGCAGCGCCAGTCCCCTGCACACCGTCACGGCCACCGCCGCGGCGATGGGTTCGGTGGGAACGCTGACGAGTGCCAACTCCTCCTCCTCCCTGACCACCACCATGACCACGGGAGCAGCGCCGCGCAGTCTGCCGGGCGTGCTGCCGGGCAACTTCCATGCGGAGTACAACCTGCTGCAGGAGCTGGGGCGCGGCACCTTCTCCGTGTGCCGCCTGTGCGAGCACCGCGCCTCGAAGAAGCACTACGCGGTGAAGGTCATCGAGAAGGCGGCGGTGGCCGCCGCCTCTGCCGCTTCCACCTCTGCCGACTGCTGGGAGGAGGTGGAGATCATGCTGCGGTACGGCAACCACCCGAACATCGTCACGCTCTACTCGGTGTACGAGGACGCGAGCTCCGCGTATCTGGTAATGGAGCTGCTTAAGGGCGGGGAGCTGCTCGACCGCATCCTGGCCGTGGGCCAGATGTGCGAGAGCGAGGCCAGCGCCGTGCTGCGGACCATCGCCTCGGCGGTGGCCTATCTCCACGAGCACGGGGTCGTCCATCGCGATCTCAAGCCCTCGAACATGATCTACGCCAGCATGCGCCAGACCCCGGAGACGCTCAAGCTGTGCGATCTAGGTGAGTGAGCCATCTTCAGAGATGGTCGCCGGACTAAGCATGGACCAAACTGTTGATCTGTTCTTCCTCTTAGGCTTCGCCAAGCAGCTGCGGGCGGACAACGGTCTGCTGATGACGCCGTGCTACACGGCCAACTTTGTGGCCCCCGAGGTGCTGAAGCGGCAGGGCTACGACCTGGCGTGCGACATCTGGTCGCTGGGAGTGCTGCTCTACATCATGCTCTCAGGACGAACGCCCTTCGCCAGCACGCCCAACGACTCGCCCGAGGTGATCCTCAAGAGGATCGGCTCCGGCCACATCGACTTCAGCAGCAGCCGCTGGTCGCTGATCAGTGCTCCGGTAAAGGAGCTTCTCCGCCAGATGCTCCACATAGTGCCCGAAAACCGGCCGACTGTGGCGCAGATCCTTGAGCACAGCTGGGTGCGGGATCAGTTTGCCGGGAGTGTTGAGCTGACGGAGTACACCTCGGCGCTGCCACAACTGTCGCTGGGGGCGCAGCAACAGCAGCAAAACCACATCTCGATGGCCCTGCGCGGTGCGGTGGACGCCACATTCCGGGCGATTGCCATTCCGCAGGCGGCCAACGTGGGACCCGTGGAGCTGTCGATGCTGGCCAAAAGGCGGGCCAAGGACCGGGCCAATCTTCATTCCTAATCCTGGGCCGCACTATGGTGCCCACGACGCCAGGCCAAGAGGCAGCTAATTCGATTAGTCTCCACCATCTATAGTATTTTGATCCATTTCTGTGCATTTCCCCGTCGCCTGGACAAGTGGCGTCGTCGCCACCTCAACAGGAATGGGAACGAGAATGGAAATGGAAATGGGAATGGGAATGGGCATGGGCATGGGCATGGCCATGCCCGAGGACATGCTATAAATCCCCGTCAGCGTTGTCGCAGTGCCAAGCTGCGGCTGGTCTAGATTGGGGTTTGGACAGGCGTGCGGATCAGACAGAAACTCGAAAGTATTTGACTAAAAGTGTTAATTATTTATTTAATATATAAAAACTAAAGCAAAGAAAGGAAAGGACCGGAACGGAACGGAAAAGTCGGAAGAAGGTGTCAACTGCTGTGCCAACGGCTTCTTAAAGTACATCCATATACCACTATATATATATATATATATATATATTTGTATATATATAAAGCTATTTATATTACGAATCCCTGTAAATCGAAATGTACGCCTGCGTGTGAGTGTGTGCTGTGCGTGGTGTGGTGGGGATCGGTACTATAGGCCTAGCCCCTGCCTGACTGTAGCACTGCTGCCTCCCTTCTTCCTGCCCCAAACACATTTCCACACACCCGCATCCACCCACCAGCCCGCACACACACACACACACACACACAGAAGCCTAAGAAATGCAGAAATATTTTTAACTAAATTAATCGTAGCTAAATTTTCCAACATCACCGTGTTATTGTTGTTTAAATAATTAATTAAAACGAAACAAAAAATTAATCACGAGAAACATTTGTGAAACGCAAAAGAAAAGGCTGGACACCCCCAAACCTTTTTCTACATATTATTCTTAATATTAATAACTAACAAATTGTGCAACAAAGTCTAGCAAAACAACAACAACAAAAGCAAAAACATTACATATGCGGTACAAATCGTTGAAAAGCCAAACAAGCCTTCACAAAAAGAGCAGCAAAAGCAAATGTGTTGCCGTTGCCTCAAAATAATTCTACTTGGAATGTCAATTTCGCACAAAGACCTACAAAAAACTACAACATATACGGTACAACATGCTATACAAGCGAGATTATACATACCATGGTATATGTACATACAATATATGTACATACCTACCTGTCTACTATATAAAGCCGAACCACATACAGAGTGCGTGCGTTTCAGTGGGTCAGCTCAGAACTATATTCAGACTCTGGCTATAAATATAGCCATATATATATATTCAATAAATATTGAATTATTAACGTACATATGTAGATCAGTTAGCTAGGGGGAGAGCAGGAGGCTCCCCTCAGTTAAGACGGTCTGACAATCTTAGCTGACTCTGTGAGAACGCAACGAGGCGAGGGAGCAGCCAGGGTGGTCCTGGCTGGCTGAATCTATTCAATAAGTACTTGAGTTCGTGTGGAGCCAATATTTATGGGTCCTACTTCCACTTGACACTTGACACTGCTGACTTTGATCAGAATCGATATACATATACAGCTAATCGATATGTTTCAGCTGGAGGACAGAATCTTTTTTGTTTGCTGAATGTACATACATACATACATAATGCTAGGCTGAATCTAGGCTAGAATCCATTGCGTAAGTGAATGATAACTATGATTGTGATTGGCATGCATTATTCAAGATCAGAATACGCCATACGCTAGCTGAATTAAACTTGATCAAGACGGGGTCTGGACCCATTGGTAGCATAGCTGATTCCATTATTCATTACATATGTATAAATGATATGTACTCGTACGAGTACAGCTGTCTGTTTGTCGTTCGATTGCGGTACCTATATACATACATATGTACATATATAGCCATATAGGCTACGAACGTGCACTCCTCAGATTGAACTCAAATCAAATCCTTTCCGAATGCGTTGCATTTCTGAAACGCACTGCAGTCTCTGTAGTCAATGGTTATTGTCGTCTTCCTGCGATTTTGGTATCCTGCAACGCCTGCAACGCACAACGTACAAGCGAACGATGCTGAGGAATGATCTTCCTAGATCTGGTTGAGATTAGAGGAAGATCCAAGTCCCAGCAGAGGGAACTGTATCTTTTATCTGGCCCCAAACCCAAAACCCAACCGCAAATAAAATACAATTTAGGGAATGGTTCTATGTATGTGCCTTTCACACATACATAAGTAAATAGATACATCAATACATGCATATGTTACATGCATACCATCTGTTTCCACTCAAGTATCGTATCGTATCCAGCAGAATGGATACACAAGAAATATACACGCATATACAGTATCTATTGTTGTAGTTTATAGTATAGTACATATAGTACTTGTTTTCCAAGACAACAAAAAATTGTGTATAAAGACCTAATGCGGTCGAATTCTAATCCGATTCCAGGACTTGGGCTTACTTTAGCTATATGTGTGCATGTTTTAATGAAATTTTATGCGCTGTGCCACCACTGAACTTACTGCTAACAAAAAACAATAATTGCATATACACCACCATAGAAAATATTAGTTAAAGTTGACAAATTTTTAGAGCAAAGGCCATCCATGGGTAGCATCAGTGTCCCTCCATAAGAGGGGAATAGGTAGGATGGTAGGACGGACATTAGCTAGCTGAAGTAGGGGGGATACAGGAACTAGGACGAGACGGAGGAACATCCAGATACATATAGTACACACATATGTATTTAGCTATAGGGAGTACTGGGTGGGTAGACTGGATAAGCGGAAGATAAAAGTCGGACTAGAGATATAGCTATAATGCTGAAGGATGCTGGAACAGGAAGATATGATGGGATGCTGAAAATAAAGATTTCGATGATGATAATGAGAATCATAAATTACTAACGGTTTGTTATAAAATGCTGTGCACACACAAATTAGACAGGGACAGTAAACAATGAAAGAGACAGAGATAGAGATAGCGACAGAGACAGAGACAGAGAGATCCAGAATGAAAGAAAACTAAATGGGACATATGTACATGTATGTATGTACATACATAGGTACATATGTGTTGTCCCAGTGGACTCTCGTTGCTCTCAGAGAAGCCACACACATGTTTACACATCCTAGACTCCACCAATAACTCCACTGAACCCTTGAACCCTCTCGACCTGGACATCGACGGAACTTCTACTACTAAAGCCATGCACCCAAAATACTTACAAACATACATATGCATGCACAAGTACATACTATACATGTATATGTTTATATATATGGATGCTACATACATACATATATTTTCTTAGTAGATTTTTACAGCTTCCAGAACTACATACATGTACTGTACTGTACTATTTATATATATATGTATATATATATATATATATGAAAACAAAACCCAAAGAAATTATTGACAACTATAAAGTGAGCAAACACGTTTTATTGTAATCGAAATCGAACGATTCTAAATTATTGTAAAGTTGATTCATAAACACAAAAACAAGAAAAAAAAATCACAAAAAAAAGATTTGAAAACAAGCGAAAACCAATAAAAATTCAAAGTTCTGAATTGTTTTGATCTGGCACTAAAGGATCTGTTCCCTGTTTTTGATATTATAAGGAATGAAAGAGCACAACTTGCTCAACGCTCAGTGATGGATGTCATGCGATAGTGCCGATGATCATCAAGTCGATATAAGCTAAAAGCAGTGCAACGCATCATACATACATACATATGTATATCGTAAGCCATCCATCAGTGCTGGTTCTGGTTCAGGTGCTGGTGCTGGTGCAAGCGCCCATTAATTCGAGTATCTACTATGATTGGGAATTTAATAGCCATGTCACATATGTACATATGTATGTATTAGCTGTACATATGTATGTGTGTTGAACATCTTATCGCTGGTGTTTTCTTATCAATTAAGATAAGGGGTTGACTGATGCATACATGCTACATAAGATCCAGTGGATTGTTTGTCTTGGCTAATCTCTGGTTTCTTGAACATTTATTTATTTAATCATAAAATAAAGCAAAGTGAAATGCAAGCCCCAGCATCTTGCCAAGGTTTCCGGGCACGGAACATTCGCATCTACTATTTTCTCAGGAATTATCTTTCCCTTTTGTCCCCAAAACCCCCTCGCACGTTGATTTGCTGTTTCAAAATAGCTTTATCTGTTTTTGAATTTATCGTGGTTTTTTTTATATATATATTTATATTATTGTTATTACGCAGCTTATAATACTAACTAATTTCTGGTTTGTTTTTTGCTTTTGCTTTCAATTGGATTCATTGACTTTTGATTTAATTGAATTGAATTAATTTTCACCGTTCTATGTAGGTGGTTTTTGACAGACACAAACACATTTAGTTACAGAAAATTATTGTACAATGCAACGAAGTTATCCGCTCTCCTGTCCGATCTTGTACATAAGCAAATTATGTATAAACTTGAATGTTCTGAATATGCCTTTTTATGGAGTGTAAAAAAATATACTAGTAGTAGACGTATCTCCCAACTGCCGCTGCCAGCTGCCACAGCCGCTGCCAGCTGCCACTGCATCTGTCGCTGTTTCCATATCGTCTCCATTTGAATATTGCTGTGTGTGTGTGTGTGTATATATATGTATGACGCATAATATATATATATATATATCCTGGTGCATTCGCTTTAATGCTTGCCCTTGTTGCCTTTGCGACTGCGTTGCTGCTGCTGTTGCGCTACTGTGGCGCTGTCCCTCTGCGAGGCGGGTGCCGTGACAGAAGCTTCTTCATCTGCAGAGAGAAAGTCACAGGCACTATTGTGAGAAAGGGCTCAAAGGGACTGAGATCTGGGTTAATAGCTCACCCGCCGTAGCTGTGGCCGTGCCCGTGGAGGCTGCGCTCTCCCGGGACTCTGATTGTTCAGGCGATGTACTTATCTCGACCACCAGAACTTCCTCAGCCTCTGCATGCGGTAGCTGCAACGGCTCTGACTGTATCTGGGCCTTGGCCTCGAGGACCACCACTTCGCCGTCCTCCTCCTCCTCCTCGACGTGGGCTTCCTCAGCAATGACCCCATTAAGCAAATTGCCTTCCTGGGCCTCTTGGGCCATGTTGGCTTGGGCTCTGCGACGCCGCTTCTCTAGGTCGCGCGTGTAGTTCTGCGTCCATTCAATGTGCTCCTTGTAATACTGATAGACGGGGATGACAATCACCGAGATATCGTCGACGGTGGCTGCCGCCTTGCTGTCTGCGAGCCGCCAATGGCCGGAGTCGTTTATCTTGCCGCGGGCACGGGCCACCAGCTCCTGGGCGACCATGGTGTAGCGATGCTTCTCGGTCGGGTACTTGGAGAGCGTTTGGAAGACGGTGCGGGAGACGGCCTCGTTCTCGGACACGTCCCAGAGGCCGTCGGTGGCCATCACGAGCACACCGTAGTCGCCGTCTTGATTGTGCTCGTCCGGGATGCTGACCACCTGGGTGAGATCGCGCTGACGCACATCTGGATGGGGGGTGAGGAATGGCTTGATCTGGATGCCCGTGTTGATGGCCAGCAGCTCGTGGTCTCCAAAGCCGCGGGAGACGCCCAGCGTACCCAGGAGCCGGCTCCTCTTTCCCTCCCCGTTGACCACGGGCATGCGGAGATCGTCGCGAGTGAGCGTCTTGTAGGTCCAGCCTTTCATGGTGCCCTGGCGGCAGAGGATGCGCTGCCCCATGTCCTTGATGTGGGGCCGCTTTGCGTACTCCATGGCCACATAATGATTGGCCATCAGGTGCGGCTTCAGCCTAGCCACATTGAGCAGCCGCTCGCGCTCCGTCTCCGGCGTGTGGTCCGCCGAGAAGGGCACTGGATAGCAGCTCGCCTCCAGCGGATCCGGCTCGATCACAGAACTGTCCTTCGGCTCGGTCGGCTGATTGGCCCGGCGCTGGCAGAGCACGGCCCGGCTGTCACCAGCATTGGCCACGTACATCTTTCCGTCGATAAAGAGCGAAACGCAGGCGGTGCATCCACCCGCATCGCGGTACCGATTGCTGTCCTGGGCTATCAGTGAATCCATGCTGAAGAAGGCGCTCTCCAAGGCGCCGATGATCAGCTCGTCCTTGGACACGCGCCGCTGAAAGTAAATGGGGTGCGGGAATGTCGGATTGAGCCGCCCGTTCTCGCCGGTATCCGTTTCCCGGGGCAGCAGCAACTCGATGCAGTCCACCAGCGTCTCGTGCAGAATGTGGTGGAATTGATGGGAGGCAGCCAGGGCGGCCCCATACCCGGCATGGCCATCGAAGATGCCAAAGTACGTGTATGGTAAATCGGGATGCTTGTGTTCCGGATCGGACAGCACCTGCCTGCAAATGGGATCAATGGAAGCAATGGGATTTAGGTCAATGACTCACACACTTTCGAGTCTTTCGATGCTCGTGACTCACCGGCAGAAGGCGCTCTGGTCCTCGTTCCACTCGGACTTACCCGAGTTGACGCACTCGGCGTAGCCAGTGCCCCACGGCAGCAGATTGATGTCCCTCGGCACGATAATGGGCCGCACATTGTGGTCCGCCGATGCGCGCAGTTCGTCCGCGGTGAGCAACTGCAGGAACGGGGGCCGGGCGTACGGGAACTTGTCCGGCATCTGCTGGCCCCCGAACCGCCGATGGTGGTGGTCGCTGCGGTCGTTGCTCGGCAGCGGGGGAAGATCGGGCGCCAGTGCCGTCATAAAGCGCTCTTTGAAGTTGCTGAACATGATGGTGGATTGCCCAGACGGTGGATGGACAGAGGGGGACGTGGGCGGGTGGAAGCGGCTTCCCTTTGTGTGTTCTGCTGATTACAGGCTCTCCTTTCCTACTCCTCCTCCTTGTCTGCCCCTGGCCTGTGTTTCAGTTGCGTCTCGCTCACTCCCACTGACGTGGCGAGCTTGCGTTGTTTTTGCTGGTTTTCACACAGCTGGGAATTAGATAAGTGTGTCAGCGCGTTGGGGGGCTGAAGTGGACGCGGGTCCCGCTACACGACACAACCTACATGCAGTGGAACGGCTCTTATAATCGGTGACAAGTCCGAGCTATTTTGCTATTTTCCTTTTTGCCAGTAAAAATAAATCGATTAGCACGACAGTGTGACCGTTGTCTTGCAGTGCGGAAAATAACGCCCCTGAATGACCAAGATTTTGAGATGTAAACACGGTGTTGCATTTAGATAAATACAATATTTTAACTACCAAAATTAACAAATGTTTAAGTCAACAGCGTTAATTAACAAATAAATGTATGATAATGCATGTGAAAACAGTTTTTATTGTACATATGTTATGTCGCTATCGTTACTTACCAGGGCAGACAACAATGAACCAGTTGAACATACATATGTATGTCTCCCTTTGGAGATATATTTGATCAGTCTAATTTTGAATGCCCCTTATCTGTAGGATTAAGATATAAAAACCCACATATGCATATTGCTGTCCATCCTTGTGGAAATAAAATGGCGACAACGTAAAATTTTGACAGCGATAATGTCAAATTTTGTCGCTGTCAAAATTTTACGTCAACGTCAAAGTCAATTCAGACTTTAGAAATTTAAATTAATTTTATGTTGAATTGCAGATCGGAGCACAGTGAGCTACGTGACGTCATCATTAAGTCGAAGGCCTCGGGCATAGCCCTGGATCAACAGAAGGTGGATCAGTACATCAAGGCCATGTCCCTAAATGGCAGTGAAAAGGTGAGAGCAGCAGCAGTCTCTCTTGACCGTTTTGAATCCTTATTCATGTATATCTCCTTGCAGGCTAACACCGAGAAGCTGGCGGCCATGTGGATGTATGCCACGCAGATGGGCAGCCTGCCGCCACCTTCGGTGCGCAAGCTGACGCCTCCCTCCCGTCCTATAATGCTGATCCCCTCCGCCGCAGGAAGTGGAGTAAGTTGCTGCTTCGATAACTCAAAATCTGCCTCTGGTTAACTGTTCCCCTTGCTTGTTCATTTCAGCTGGCCCCGCCGCCACCGACACGCCTGCCCCCACCCCCACCTGGCGCCGGAGCAGGGCTGCTCCTTCCAGTGCCTGCACTGCCGCCGCATTATAGAGGTATGACGCTGCCCTACATGCGACCTGGACCTGGTTCCGTGATCTACGCTCACCCGGCCAGCCTCAGCGGCACTTACCGCACCCACAAGAGCACCAAGTCAGCCGAGCTGAATGGTCAGCGCAGACGCCGCCGGGCAGGCAAATCGGATGCCAATCGCCGTCAGCGCCGCAAGTCCGAGGCAGATGTCCTTGACGGAGCCCCCAACTTTCAGTACACGGGCCTGGATCGGGCCATAGCTGATAGTTTCCTGGCCCGCCAGGAGCAGTCACAGGCCGGCAGTCACATCGATTACTCCTCGTCGGCATCCTCGGATCTGTACGGGGGTCAGCGTGCCTCCTCCAAGACGAAGATTGTCTGTCGCGATGTGATGATGTGAGGGGCACCCCGATCCTCCCTTCCCCCATCTTTGTACATATATGTGTAGTTTTTTGGTGGTCAGGCCTAGGAGCCTTGCGCACCCATAAAAGTTTTTGTTTGGATTTCCTTAACCCTCTCTCTTAAGCACTTATTCTTATATACATATGTCGGTATGTATGTGTATAAAGCGATAAATAAAGTTATATATAAACCAGTGAGAACGCTAACGTTATAGACGGTACATTCTACTACGTATATACACATGTATGTAGGATGCTCGGTAATCATATTTATTAACTCTGCACTCCCCACGAATCCAGAAAACATCATTCTGAGGGAGGAATGTAATACTATTAATGCTATTAATACTATCTACAGAATTTTGTGGATCCATAGACAATGCTTAAGTACACAATATTACCGAACAATACAGACTGACAGACCCACTTAAGCACACAATATTACCGAATAATACAGACTGACAGACGGATGGACATGACCCGCTTCTGTGCAAGGATATACATATACATATAGGTATACAATTTCGAGCATAGATTGCAACTAGTTTTGCCTGTATACAGATACCCCGGCATACAATTATTAGAAAAATAGCCCGGACTACAGCTGGATCTAAAAATCCTCGTCGCTGTGGTGCTCCGCCTTGTTGGCCGTCTTCGGACGCAGCGGCAGTTCGCCCGTCAGCTTCGAAATGCTGATGTCATCAATCGAGTTCAGATCAACTGGGAAGGAGAGAGAAGCCATTAATGAGGTGTTCACACCGCGATTGCAGCCACTTACAGTCATCGTCGCCAGTTCCCATGGCCATGCTGATGCCCCCCGCACCGGCGCCAATGCCACTCATGCCCATAATCTCGCCCACGTCCAACTCGCTGTCGGAACTGCCGAAGCTACTGTCGTCGTCCCGCGAGTTGAGCATGCTGCTCCCGGGCGGCACATTGCGTCCGTTGTGAGCGGCCCTGGCTGCTCGTCCACCTCCACCTCCACCGCGACCTCCACCTGCGCTGGCGCTGGCGCCAGCTCCTGTGCCCTTGCGACTGCGTCCCGTGGTGGGTCTCAGGCGGGAGGTGGCCGTTCCGGGACGCTTTCCCTGGCCGGAGTTCAAGACGTCCTGCCGCATCAGCTGGTCCTCGTCGCGTATATCTGGTATCTCGGCGTCCAGGCCAAACAAACTTCTGCCATTCACCACCATCTCCACAGCGGAGCCGACACCAACTCCGCCTCCTACTCCACCTCCAACACCTCCGCCCATATCTTCGTCGTCATCTCCATCGAGATCGTCGTCCTCATCATCGTCGTCGTCTTCGATGAGGCCCTCGGGTATGAAGGGCATCGAGCTCTCAGCGGGTTTCTGCAGTATGGGCGAGGCGATGGGCGTGGTCCGCTTGGTGCGCGCCTCGAGCTGGGAGCGCAGGGCGTCGCGGACGTGCAACCGGAGGAAATAGCGCTGGAACAGCATCTGCAGCTCCTTCTCGCACTCCTCGAACTCGGCCATGTGCGCAGGTCGGATCTTCTGCAGCGCCTCCAGCCGCTGCTTGGTCCGCTCTAGCTCGGCCCGCTTTCGCTGCAGCTTCGAGTTTAGAGCGTTCAGCTCGACGCGGGCCGCCTCTAGCTGGGCCCGGCTCGACTGCAACTTGAGCTGGCTGGCCTGGGTGGCGTTCTTGAGTGTTCGCTCCACACTGAGCAGCTCCATGGGCCGTTGGGCCTGGGTCTGGCGCGACTCCTTGTGCTGCAGCTCCTTGGACAGCAGGTCGTAGAGGGCGGCTCCCCGCTGGGTGAGGTCTGAGGAGAGCTCGCGAGCCCGGCGCAGCTCCTCCATCTTGTCCCCGATGTCCACCTGGTTGAGGCTGCGGTACTGGTCGCGCTCCTCCTCCTCGCGCTCCGCCTCCGTTTGGCTGGGCGCAATGAGAAGGCGCGTGATCTTCTGTAGCTCGCTGGCAGTGACTGCGGCTGCGGCGTACAGCTTGCGGGGATTCAGCCGGATGGCCGACTTGGTCACAAAGAACTCCGTGGCCGAGCGAACTAGCAGCACGCGCTGCTCCTCCGTTTCCACCCCGCCGGAGAGCACGGTTCCGGGCTCCATAAGCCCCGCCAGCCACTGGATCAGCTCGGACACGATGTGGAAGCTGGCCAGGCTTCCGTGCTGGTTGGCCAGCGACTGGAGCGGAAAGACCCGTGGAAAGCCCAGCAGCTTCAGCTGCTCTCCGAGATCTACATAATTGCAAAAGCGAAGGGGAATTGGTACGGTAACGGTATTGGTATTGGCTGCAAAGGGCGTTCTTGAACTCACCGCGCACATCCTTGAAGGACATTCCTGGGCTATATGCTGGCAACGGTTGACCACGACTTGACCTGTGTACGCGGTGCTGCTGCCTTCGATTCAATTTGCATTTTCCTCACTGTCATTTGTTGTGGTTTTCCCTAGGCTGCTGCTTCTTCTTGCCGCCAACGACGCCTTTGTTTGGGCCAGGCCATCCATCCAATGCAACAAGGTTGCCAGGCAACCTCCTGGCTCTCACTCTGCCTCTGACTCTGACCCAACCTAGCCTCGCTTCGGTTCGCTTCGGTTCGCTTCGGTTGGTTTCCCTGTCGGCTGCTCTGGTCAGCACACGCAAGATAGGGGGTTTCACCAGGGCAACGGCTAAGGGGTGGATTTCCACTTCCATTTCCACAGGGTGGTTGGTTGGCGGTTGGGCGAGGTTGCTTGGAGGGGAAGCAGCAGGCGCCGAGGCAGCGCCTTGATCTTGGCAGAGCTTCCAAGTTCCAATTTCCAAGTTCAAGGTCGATTAGTGAAGCTACTTGCTATGTATAAAGGAGCAAACACAACAGTTCTACATCGAAGATATTCAGAGCGAGGGAGCAGAACATGAAAAACTGAGCTTTAATTGAGGTAAGATTTTCATAATCCTTTTGGTCGCTAGCAATACAAGCGACTAACAAACGATATGTGGCAAACAGTGCCACGATGTCGCACAACTCGGCAAACATGGCCGACCATGGACATGAAGCGCAGCTCCGAGCTCCTCAAGTTAAGCAGGAAAAGGTGCAGCGTAGTCATACGTTCCCTCACGGGACACTGGCTAATAGGCACCCACGCTAACAGGCTGGGGGCCCCACATGACGATTTTTGTCGCAGCTGTAGAGACGAGGAAGAGGAGGAGACAGTGGAACATCTGTTCTGCTCCTGCCCAGCTCTCAGCAGAAGAAGGCTACAGCACCTGGGCTCAGCCTTTCTACACGACATCTCAGAGATGTCCAAACTATGTCCCAGGAGGATAGCGAACTTTGTGAGAGCATCTGGATGGGATAATTGCTGACAGGAAGTCTCACAACGCAGGAAGGAATGATCCTATGCGGTATCACAACGGGCCGAAACCGGCCTAAGTGTGACGGGTTCCGAGCGAGCCCGGCAGCCGCCTCAACCTAACCTAACCTAACCTTTGGTAGCTACATATATGGTATTAGTTTACTTAATCACACTGTTTAAATAATATTTAGACCAGTTATCTAAGTAAACAACAGAATGTTGAGTATATGTCTCAGATTATCATGCAGGCTCCGGGTTTCACTTACCAAAACGGTCCGCTTTCGTGTTTGGGTGCTCCTGGTTTCGCAAATTCTTGTCATTGATTGTTTCATTTTTTCATTCACTGTTAAGCGCAGAATTTAGTATGATTTTGTGTACTACGCGGCACAAATTCATGTGTTATGTGCAACAGAGATTTTATTGCTTTCGATCGATAACCGAATCGAGCTGCGTCTGCTGTTAGCACGAAAACGCAAAGTGTTGTTGCATTGACCAATTATTTCAACGTAAAATTTGATATTGCCCAAATTACCCTGGTAATGGTGTCAGTTGTACGTGAACCATCAGTAAGTCATATATTTTTTCCCTTTGCGCTCAGACACGAAACAGAAATTTGCTGTTCGCTCGATCATGATTATGCTATGTTGTTCGGAGCTTCCAGCTTGATTCTGGATGATTCTGGATTCTGTGACTGCTGTCGTCTGAATAAATCAATAGGTTAGTGCTAAGATAAGACAGTTTACGGATAAGGAGCTGAGAATTACCCAATTAGCATTTGAAAGAGCAGAAAAACAAACTTCGTTCCGAATTCAATCGCTACTAGCCTGTTTTGTCACAGGCTCTTTTCCTCTCTCTTTTTGAGCACTTGACTGGCTTTAATTGACGAAAATCAATTAGTCCGCATCCGTGATATGGGTGAATATTTGCGCGAATCCTCCATGTTGACACTGGAGTGGGTGCAGCGAGCGATGCCACCGCACCTTTCCACCTTTCCACCTTTCCACCTACACGTACGAGTTACAGTTGCACTCACATTAAAGGTTATTACTAGTACTACTTAGTGGCCCATTTGCACAGGAGGAGTAAGCTCCTATTGATGCTGCCACATGGCAGTAATTAATTATATTGCATGTCAAAGGGCAAAGTAGTTCGGCGCCAGTGAAAGTGCCAACCAAAGACGACTTGACAGTAATTTCAGTTCAGTTACTTAAAGCAACCAAATTTTGTCCATCTGGTGGCGCTTGACGAGTAGTAAAAGAATAGATTGAACTTCAACCGACGCGTCGGCAAAATCTAGCAGCTCCTAAATCTAGAAACGATCGATATTAAGGGGTATCTAAACTCTGCTCTGCGGCAACGTCATAAGCATAACTGGAGCAATTACTAATGTCATTACCAATGTTGTCCCGCAAGTAGTAATTGCAGACAACAAATTGCGGGCATACTCGTATGTGTCCTCCTCCTGGCTATCATCGTCATAGTCATATAGTCGTCGTCATCTATACCTCATCGGTTGAAAACACGGCACCACGGCAAAGTTCAATGGTCGCCAACGTGTGCGCGTCGCTTCACAGACAATGGAGAGGAGACCCTTACTACCACAGGACAGACCCTGTTGCCTTCCATCTCCCAGTACTGTCCCAGTACTGTCCCAGTACCCTCCCAGTACCCCAGGCGCCCACAACAAGAGGCGATGCTACAACGATGATGGTGCAATTAAAGCGTAACCCTTAATCGAAACACCCGACGCTTTTGCCAAGATTGGTGATTGTGGGATGATGGAGTATCCAGATGGCCAATCGCTTGAACGTTGGCGGATATTGGAACTAGCGAACTAGTTGTTGATGAGCCATGAAACAACTGCCGTTGATCGAGGTTCTGAAATCGCCCTTACACATATTTACATATCTAATGATTTATTTGTGACAGCGATATCTGTCGGCTGATGTCTTCTCATAGTAATATCCATTACTTTCAGTTAAGGAATTGATTTGAAGGAATAAATATTAGATCCTACTGGAACCGAATTAAATTGCATTTCAGGTTTAGGCAAGGTTCCCTTGCCCTTGGTGATAATTTTTTTTATTTAAGGTTGCAAGTTTTGAAGGAAGCTAAAAATACATTTGTATACACAGTTTCTGCAACGTTGTATATATGTATATGTACATATATATCGTTCATACAATTAATATGTTTATGGATATACCCTTTAAATAAAAATATCATATTTTTGTCTTCTTCCATCAATATTCCTATAAATATATGTTTGACATTTTAAAAACTTTTAGTTTGTTTTTTTTAGAATCAATTTAGGCCTAAAGATTAAAGATTGTTTGCGACCATTCAAGCTGTACTGTACAAATTCCTCCAAAAATAGTTTCAAGACCATGGTAATATAATATTCTGCTACATGTCTGTACATTAGGGTTGCGGTTATTGGCATGGGCGATAAAAATGTGTCGGAATCAAAGGTCTCAGGGTCTAAAAAGGTTCCTTTTGGTATTTAACAGTAAAATATAACTTTTTCGCAAATTCGCAAATGGCAGCTTTACTATATATTGCTCTGATCGGATCGATTTTTCTTTTGTCATTTAGAATATTAATTAATATTTAATCCAACAATAAATAGTTGACCTTACACTTGTCAGAAAAATGTGCAATTACACATGCAGAGTATTAAAGTACCGAATTGCAACCCTCGTCTACTCAAAATGCATTCGGAAGGGGAATGAAATGGGGAACAGTTGAGAAGCCTGTTTTTACATAGCTGCGTCCAATTCTGGAGGCTTCCCCCTAGAGAAGCTATTAGACCAAGGCTCTTATGCCTCCCGAGCAGACGTCACATCACATAACATCGTATATTCTCGGGCAGCATTTGAGCCATGAGCCGAAGCTACATCGGGTACAATCGTTCCACTCTTTGCCACATTCCAAGATTCCTGGGTGACTATCGTACTGATCAGTACGCTGCCACGCATTTAAATGACAGAACAAATGAAATTGAAATGACTTCTCTTGAATTCATGTTGAATTGAGAAAACTCATGCGCGTACTGATTACATTGAATTTTTAGAGTCAACTCAAACGGGTTCGGGATCGGCGATTTATAGCTTAAAAATATGTATTTTTCGAGAGTATCGGGCTTTGTATCAATTCCAGCGGCGAATTCCGAATTTAAGTCAAGGATATTTTAGGATAATCCAGGATTCCATTACAAAATTTTAGCGATTATAGTCTTTAAGCTGCTTCGTTCAATACATTTAGTTTATTTAATAAATGTCAATCGTCAATGTTCATGGGTTCACAGGTTACCACCGAAAAACCGCCACACACTCAAAACCGAAAATACACTCGCACACACACACACACACACACCACACAACACACTCAAATGTATACATGTATGTACATATGTACATATGTATGTATAAAACCGTTTTATGGCACCGAACCGTAAGAGACGTCAACAGCAGAGTTACTTGAACTCTCCGTTCGAGAGTCTCCGTCTCCGTCTCAGCTGCAGCTCTCTCCCTACTCACTCTTTACCTGGTCGGCCCTCTCGAGGCGTAAGGGAGAAATTTTGGCAACTCACACTCCATCTTCCACTCCCATTCCCACAGGCACTCCCTGCTACCAGCTTTAGGATCAAACGTAAATTTCACTTTGTGCGGAGGAAAAGTTGAAAAAAGGAAAGAAAGAATGAACGAAAGCAAAGAGAAGCAACAAACAGCGAGAAAGAAGAAAGGAACGAATTGTGAGATGAAGAGAATATGTGGAGAGAAATGGGGGACAAGGGAGAGAATTTATAAATCAAGACGTCAGACCTAGCGACGGCGGCTGTCAGTCGGTGTAGCCGTCAGCGTTGGCGTTGGCGTTGGCGGCGTCGTCGTCCTTATATGACCCCCATCATCATCATCCTCATTAGTGTCATCATTATCATCCGAAACACGTTGAACTCTTCTTCGAGTCAGCTTCGCATGGGTTCGCAAAGAAAGGGGAATGGGAACGGGAGAATGGTCGCCAGCGCACGTGTCCTTGGCCTTATCAACTTAATTGGGTGTGAAATTGACGAAACGACCTGGCCAGGACACCGTAAAGAACGGAATGCAGATGGGCTCCCGTTGAGGTAGCTGCCGCTGCACTTTGGGCACACATTCTAATGTGGCATAGAGTACAGTACAGTACAGTACAGTCACACAAGCCCCCAGTAGCCGCAATGGGGTTGTGTCTCCCAGCGGGGAGAGAGGCTGGAAGAGATTTCTGTGCGACTGTTTTATTGTTGGGCTATTTTTGATTCATGCGAATTAAGAGATATAAACGGAAAACCGTGTGCAGGTACAGCCCTTCACCTGCAGAAGACCCTGTACCTGTACCTGTCTAATGGGATGGGGATGGGGATGGGGATGGGTATAAAACTGACATATAGATACTTGCGAGCATTGAGCGCA